GTTTTTAGCACATTCAATCGCCTTCGCCTCATTTTCGACAAATTTCTCATTTTTAAACCATTTCCCGATTATCCTGTTCCATTCAATTTCATTTTTTTTTATCGTCTACTATTTAAAACAATAAAGTCGCGGTTAATCTTCGGCTGCGATCATACCAGCACTAATGCACAGGATCTCATCAAAACTCCGCAATTAAGCGTGCTTGGGCGAGTGCAGTACTAGGATGGGAGACCCCTGGGAAGTCCTCATGTTGCACCTCTTTTGCCCCTTTTCATTCCATATTTTTTTTCACCCATCCCCGGACAACCTGTCCAGTTTTTAGCCCATTCAATCACCTTTGCCTCATTTTCGACAAATTTCTTCCTTTTAAACCATTTCCCAATTATCCTATTCCTTTCAATTTCATTTTTTTTTCCGTCTACTGCTTAAAACAATAAAGTTGTGGTTAATCTTCTGGTGCGATCATACTAGCAGTAATGCACCGGATCCCATCAGAGCTACGCAATTATACGTGCTTGAGCGAGAGTAGTACTAGGATGGGTGACCCCCTGGGACGTCCTCGTGTTGCACCCCTTTTGCCCCTTTTTTTTTCCTTTTTTTTTTCACTCTTCCCCGAACAACCTGTCCGATTTTTAGCCCATTCAATCGCGTTCGCCTCCTTATTGACAAATTTCGCCCTTTTAAACCAGTTCCCGATTATCCTACTCCATTCAATTTCATTTTTTTTTCCGTCTACTGCTTAAAACAATAAAGTCGCGATCAATCTTCGGGTGCGATCATACCAGCACTAATGCACCGGATCCCATTAGAACTACACAGTTAAGCGTGCTTGGGCGAGAGTAGTACAAGGATGTGTGACCCCATGGGACATCCTCGTGTTGCACCCTTTTGCCCCTTTTTTTTTTCCTTTTTTTTTGTTCACCCTTCCCCGGACAACCTGTCCGGTTTTTCGCCCATTCAATCGCCGTCGCCTCCTTTTCGACTAATTTCTCCCTTTTAAACCTCTTCCCGATTATCCTATTCCATTCAATTTCATTTTTTTTCTGTCTGCTACTTAAAACTATAAAGTCGCGGTTAATCTTCGAGTGCGATCATACCAGCACTAATGCACCGGATCCCATCAGAACTCCACAGTTAAGCGTGCTTGGGCGAGAGTAGTACTAGGATGGGTGACCCCCAGGGAATTCCTCATGTTGCATCCCTTTTGCCCCAATTTTTTCCTTTTATTTTTTCACGCTTCCCCGGACAACTTGTCCGGTTTTTAGCACATTCAATCGCCTTCGCCTCCTTTTCGAAAAATTTCTCCCTTTTAAACCATTTCCCGATTATCCAATTCCATTTAATTTCTTTTCTTTTTTTTTTCCGTCTACTGCTTAAAGCAATAAAGTCGCGGTTAATCTTCGGGTGCGATCATACCAGCCCTAATGCACCGGATCCCATCAGAACTCCACAGTTAAGCGTGCTTGGGCGAGAGTAGCACTAGGATGGGTGACCCCCTGGGAAGTCCTTGTGGTGCACCCCTTTTTCTACTTTTTTTTTCCTTCTTTCTTTTTTCACCCTTCCCCGGACAACCTGTCCGGTCTTTTGCCCATTCAATCACCTTCGCCTCATTTTTGAAAAATTTCTCCCTTTCAAACCAGTTCCCGATTATCCTATTCCATTCAATTTCATTTTTTTCCCGTGTACTGCTTAAAACAATAAAGTCGTGGTTAATCTTCTGGTGTGATCATACCAGCACTAATGCCCCAAATCCCATCAGAACTCCGCAGTTAAGCGTGTTTGGGCGAGAGCAGTACTAGGATGGGTGACCCCCTTGGAAGTCCTCGTGTTGCATCCCTTTTGCACCATTTTTTTCATTTTTTTTAACCCTTCCCCGGACAACCTGTCTAGTTTTTAGCCCATTCAATCGCCTTCGCCTCCTTTTTTACTGATTTCTCCCTTTTAACCCCTTGGGAAGTCCTCGTGTTTCATCCCTTTTGCCCTTTTTTTTCCTTTTTTTTTTTTTCACCCTTCCCCGGACAACCTGTCCGGTTTTTAGCACATTCAATCGCCTTTGCCTCCTTTTCGACAAATTTCTCCATTTTAAACCATTTCCCAATTATCCTATTCCGTTCATTTCCATTTTTTTTTTCGGTCCACTACTTAAAACAATAAAATCGCGGTTAATCTTCAGGTGCGATCATACCGGCATTAATGCACTGGAGCCCATCAGAACTCCGCAGTTAACCGTGCTTGAGCGATTGGAGTACTAGGATGGGTGGGCCCCTGGGAAGTCCTCGTGTTGCACCCCTTTTGGCCCTTTTTTTTCCTTTTTTTTTCACCCCTCGCCAGACAACCTGTTCGGTTTTTAGGCCATTCAATCGTCTTCGCCTCGTTTTTGACAAATTTCTCCCTTTTAAACCATTTCCCGATTATCCTATTCCATTCAATTTCATTTTTTTTCCGTCTACTGCTTAAAACAATAAAGTCGCGGTCAATCTTCAAGTGCGATCATACCAGCACCAATGCACCGGATCCCATCAGAACTCCGCAGTTAAGCGTGCTTGGCCGACAGTAGTACTAGGATGGGCGACCCCCTGGGACGTCCACGTGTTGCAGCCCAATTGCCCCTTTTTTTTCCTTTTTTTTCACCCTTCCCCATACAACAGTTCGGTTTTTAGCACATTCAATCTCCTTCCCCTCCTTTTCGACTGATTTCTCCCTTTCAAAACCTCTTCCCGATTATCCTATTCCGTTCAATTTCATTTTTTTTTCCGTCTATTGCTTAAAACAATAAAGTCGCGGTTAATCTTCGGGTGCGATCATACCAGCATTAATGCATCGGATCCCATCAGAACTCCGCAGTTAAGCGTGCTTGGGCGACAGTAGTACTAGGATGGGTGACCCTCTGGGAAGTCCTCGTGTTGCATCACTTTTACCACTTTTTTTTCCTTTTTTTTTTCACCCTTCCCTGGGCAACCTGTCCGGTTTTTAGGACATTCAATTGCCTTCGCCTCCTTTTCGACAAATTTCTCCCTTTTAAACCATTTCCCGATTATCCTATTCCGTTCATTTCCATTTTTTTTCCGTCCACTACTTAAAACAATAAAGTCGCGGTTAATCTTCGGGTGCGATCATACTAGCACTAATGCACTGGATGCCATCACAACTCCGCAGTTAACCGTGCTTGGGCGATTGGAGTACTAGGATGGGTGACCCCTTGGGAAGTCCTCGTGTTGCATCCCTTTTGGCCCTTTTTTTCCTTTTTTTTTTTCACCCTTCCCCGGACAACCTGTCCGGTTTTTAATCCATTCAATCGCCTTCGTCTCCTTTTCGACAAATTTCTCCTTTTTAAACCATTTCCCGATTATCCGATTCCATTCAATTTCATTTTTTTTTTCTGTCTATTGCTGAAAACAATAAAGTCGCGGTTAATCTTCAGGTGCGATCAAACCAAAACTAATGCACCGGATCCCATCAAAACTACGCAGTTAAGCGTGCTGGGGCGACAGTAGTACTAGGATGGCTGACCCCTTGGGACGTCCTCGTGTTGCACCCCTTTTGCCCCTTTTTTTTCCTTTTTATTTTTTTATCGCCCTTCCCCGGACAACCTGTCCTATTTTTAGGCCATTCAATCGCCTTCGCCTCCTTTTCGACAAGTTTTTCAATTTTAATCCTTTTCCCGATTATCCTATTCTATTCAATGTCATTTATTTTTTTCCCGTTTACCGATTAAAACAATAAAGTCGCGGTTAATCTTCAGGTGCGATCATACCAGCACTAATGCACCGGATCCCGTCAGAACTCCGCAGTTAAGCGTGCTTGGGCGAGAGTAGTACTAGGATAGGTGGCCCGCTGGGAAGTCCTCATGTTGCACCACTTTTGCCCCATTTTTGCCCCTTTTTTTTTCACCGTTCCTCGGACAACCTGTCCGGTTTTTAGGACATTCAATTGCCTTCGCCTCCTTTTCGACAAATCTCTCCCTTTTAAACCATTTCCCGATTATCCTATTCCATTCAATTTCATTTTTTTTTTCCGTCTACTACGTGAAACAATAAAGTCCCGGTTAATCTTCGGGTGCGATCATACCTGCACTAATGCACCGGATCCCATCAAAACTCCGCAGTATACCGAGCTTGGGCGAGAGTAGTACTAGGATGGGTGACCCCCAGGGAAGTCCTCGTGTTGCACCCCTTTTGCCCTCTTTTTTCCTTTTTTTTTTTTCAACCTTCGCCAGACAATCTGTCCGGTTTTTAGGCCATTCAATCGCCTTCGCCTCCTTTTCGACAAATTACTCCCATTTAAACCATTTCCCGATTATCCTATTCCATTCAATTTCATTTTTTTTTTCCGTCTACTACGTGAAACAATAAAGTCCCGGTTAATCTTCGGGTGCGATCATACCAGCACTAAAGCACCGGATCCCATCAGAACTCCGCAGTTAAGTGTGCTTGGCCGACAGTAGTACTAGGATGGGCGACCCCCTGGGACGTCCTCGTGTTGCACCCCATTTGCCCCTTTTTTTTCGTTTTTTTTTTTCACCATTCCCCGGGCAACAGTCCGGTTTTTAGCCCATTCAATCGCCTTCCCCTCCTTTTCGACTGATTTCTCCCTTTTTAACCTCTTCCCGATTAACCTATTCCATTCAATTTCATTTTTTTTTTCTGTCTACTGTTTAAAACAATAAAGTCGCGGTTAATCTTCGTGTACGATCATACCAACATTAATGCATCGGATCCCATCAGAACTGCGCAGTTAAGCGTGCTTGGGCGACAGTAGTACAAGGATGGGAGACCCCCTGGGAAGTCCTCGTGTTGCATCCCTTTTGCCCCTTTTTTTTTCTTTTTTTTTTTTTCACCATTCCCCGGACAACCTGTCCGGTTTTTGGAACATTCAATCGCCTTCGCCTCCTTTCCGACAAATTTCTCCCTTTTAAACCATTTCCAGATTATCCTATTCCGTTCATTTCCTTTTTCTTTTTCCGTCCACTACTTAAAACAATAAAGTCGCGGTTAATCTTCAGGTGCGATCATACCAGCACTAATGCACCGGATCCCATCAGAACTCCGCAGTTAACCGTGCTTTGGCGATTGGAGTACTAGGATGGGTGACCCCCTGGGAAGTCCTCGTGTTGCACCCCTTTTGGCCCTTTTTTTTCCTTTTTTTTTTTCACCCTTCCCCGGACAACCTGTCCAGTTTTTAGCCCATTCAATCGCCTTCGCCTCCTTTTCGACAAATTTCTCAATTTTAAACCTTTTCCCGATTATCCTATTCTATTCAATGTCATTTATTTTTTTTCTGTTTACTGATTAAAACAATAAAGTCGCGGTTAATCTTTAGGTGCGATCATAACAGCACTAATGCACCAGATCCCATCAGAACTCCGCAGTTAAGCGTGCTTGGGCAAGAGTAATACAAGGATAGGTGACCCCCTGGGAAGTCTTCGTGTTGCACCCCTTTTGCCCCAATTTTGTCCTTTTTTTTTTCACCGTTCCTCGGACAACCAGTCCGGTTTTTAGCACATTCAATCGCCTTCGCCTCATTTTCGACAAATTTCTCCCTTTTAAACCATTTCCTGATTATCCTATTCCATTCAATTTCATTTTTTTTTTCTGTCTACTACTTAAAGAATAAAGCCTGGTTAATCTTCGGGTCCGATCATACCAGCACTAATGCACCGGATCCCATCAAAACTCCGCAGTAAACCGAGCTTGGGCGAGAGTAGTACTAGGATGGGTGACCCCCAGGGAAGTCCTCGTGTTGCACCCCTTTTGCCCTCTTTTTTCCTTTTTTTTTTTTCAACCTTCGCCAGACAATCTGTCCGGTTTTTAGGCCATTCAATCGCCTTCGCCTCCTTTTCGACAAATTACTCCCATTTAAACCATTTCCCGATTATCCTATTCCATTCAATTTCATTTTTTTTTCCGTCTACTACTTAAAACAATAAAGTCGCGGTCAATCTTCAAGTGCGATCATACCAGCACTAATGCACCGGATCCCATCAGAACTCCGCAGTTAAGTGTGCTTGGCCGACAGTAGTACTAGGATGGGCGACCCCCTGGGACGTCCTCGTGTTGCACCCCATTTGCCCCTTTTTTTTCCTTTTTTTTTTTTCACCATTCCCCGGGCAACAGTCCGGTTTTTAGCCCATTCAATCGCCTTCCCCTCCTTTTCGACTGATTTCTCCCTTTTTAACCTCTTCCCGATTAACCTATTCCATTCAATTTCATTTTTTTTCTGTCTACGGTTTAAAACAATAAAGTCGCGGTTAATCTTCGTGTACGATCATACCAACATTAATGCATCGGATCCCATCAGAACTGCGCAGTTAAGCGTGCTTGGGCGACAGTAGTACAAGGATGGGAGACCCCCTGGGAAGTCCTCGTGTTGCACCCCTTTTGGCCCTTTTTTTTCCTTTTTTTTTTTCACCCTTCCCCGGACAACCTGTCCAGTTTTTAGCCCATTCAATCGCCTTCCCCTCCTTTTCGACTGATTTCTCCCTTTTTAACCTCTTCCCGATTAACCTATTCCATTCAATTTCTTTTTTTTCTGTCTACGGTTTAAAACAATAAAGTCGCGGTTAATCTTCGTGTACGATCATACCAACATTAATGCATCGGATCCCATCAGAACTGCGCAGTTAAGCGTGCTTGGGCGACAGTAGTACAAGGATGGGTGACCCCCTGGGAAGTCCTCGTGTTGCATCCCTTTTGCCCCTTTTTTTTTCTTTTTTTTTTTTTCACCATTCCCCGGACAACCTGTCCGGTTTTTGGAACATTCAATCGCCTTCGCCTCCTTTCCGACAAATTTCTCCCTTTTAAACCATTTCCCGATTATCCTATTCCACTCAATTACATTTTTTTCCCATCTAATGCTTAAAACAATAAAGTCGCAATTAATCTTCGGCTGCGATCATACCAACACTAATGCACCGGATCCCATCAAAACTACGCAGTTAAGCGTGCTTGGGTGAGAGTTGTACTAGCATGGCTGACCCCCTGGGATGTCCTCGTGTTGCACCCATTTTGCCCCTTGCTTTTCCTTTTTATTTTTTTATCGCCCTTCCCCGGACAACCTGTCCTATTTTTAGGCCATTCAATCGCCTTCGCCTCCTTTTCGACAAATTTCTCAATTTTAAACCTTTTCCCGATTATCCTATTCTATTCAATGTCATTTATTTTTTTTCTGTTTACTGAATAAAACAATAAAGTCGCGGTTAATCTTTAGGTGCGATCATAACAGTACTAATGCACCAGATCCCATCAGAACTCCGCAGTTAAGCGTGCTTGGGCAAGAGTAATACAAGGATAGGTGACCCCCTGGGAAGTCTTCGTGTTGCACCCCTTTTGCCCCAATTTTGTCCTTTTTTTTTTCACCGTTCCTCGGACAACCAGTCCGGTTTTTAGCACATTCAATCGCCTTCGCCTCATTTTCGACAAATTTCTCCCTTTTAAACCATTTCCTGATTATCCTATTCCATTCAATTTCATTTTTTTTTCTGTCTACTACTTAAAGAATAAAGCCCGGTTAATCTTCGGGTCCGATCATACCAGCACTAATGCACCGGATCCCATCAAAACTCCGCAGTAAACCGAGCTTGGGCGAGAGTAGTACTAGGATGGGTGACCCCCAGGGAAGTCCTCGTGTTGCACCCCTTTTGCCCTTTTTTTTCCCTTTTTTTTTTCATCCTTCGCCAGACAACCTGTTCGGTTTTTAGGCCATTCAATCGCCTTCGCCTCCTTTTCGACAAATTTCTCCCTTTTAAACCATTTCCTGATTATCCTATTCCATTCAATTTTATTTTTTTTCCGTCTACTGCTTAAAACAATAAAGTCGTGGTTAATCTTCTGGTGTGATCATACCAGCACTAATGCACCGGATCCCTTCAAAACTCCGCAGTTAAGCGTGCTTGGGCAAAAGCAGTACTAGGATGGGTGACCCACTGGGAAGTCCTCGTGTTGCACCCCTTTTGCACCATTTTTTTCATTTTTTTTTCACCCTTCCCCGGACAACCTGTCCGGTTTTTAGCCCATTCAATAGACTTCGCCTCATTTTCGACAAATTTCTCCTTTTTAAACCATTTCGCGATTATCCGATTCCATTCAATTTCATTTTTTTTTTATCTATTGCTTAAAACAATAAAGTCGCGGTTAATCTTCGGGTGCGATCACACCAACACTAATGCACCGGATCCCATCAAAACTACGCAGTTAAGCATGCTTGGGCGAGAGTAGTACTAGGATGGCTGACCCCCTGGGACGTCCTCGTGTTGCACCCCTTTTGCCCCTTTTTTTTTCCTTTTTATTTTTTTATCGCCCTTCCCCGGACAACTTGTCCTATTTTTAGGCCATTCAATCGCCTTTGCCCCCTTTTCGACAAATTTCTCAATTTTAAATCTTTTCTCGATTATCCTATTATATTTAATTTCATTTATTTTTTTTCCGTTTGCTGATGAAAATAATAAACTCACGGTTAATCTTCAGGTGCGATCATACCAGCACTAATGCATCGGATCCCATCAGAACACCGCAGTTAAGCGTGCTTGAACGAGAGTAGTACTAGGATAGGTGACCCCCTGGGAAGTCCTCGTGTTGCACCCCTTTTGCCTCATTTTTGTCATTTTTTTTTTAACCGTTCCTCGGACAACCTGTCCGGTTTTTAGCACATTCAATCGCCTTCGCCTCATTTTCGACAAATTTCTCCCTTTTAAACCATTTCCTGATTATCCTATTCCATTCAATTTCATTTTTTTTCCATCTACAACGTAAAACAATAAAGTCCCGGTTAATCTTCGGGTGCGATCATACCAGCACTAATGCACCGGATCCCATCAAAACTCCGCAGTAAACCGAGCTTGGGCGAGAGTAGTACTAGGATGGGTGACCCCCAGGGAAGTCCTCGTGTTGCACCCCTTTTGCCCTTTTTCTTACTTTTTTTTTTCACCCTTCGCCTGACAACCTGTCCGGTTTTTAGGCCATTCAATCGCCTTCGCCTCCTTTTCGACAAATTTCCCCCTTTTAAGCCATTTCCCGATTATCCTATTCCATTCAATTTCATTTTTTTTTTCCGTCTACTGCTTAAAACAATAAAGTCGCGGTCAACCTTCAAGTGCGATCATACCAGCACTAATGCACCGGATCCCATCAGAACCCCGCAGTTAAGCGGGTTTGGCCGACAGTAGTACTAGGATGGGCGACCCCCTGGGACGTCCTCGTGTTGCACCCCACTTGCCCCATTTTTTTCCTTTTTTTTTTTCACCCTTTCCCGGACAACAGTCTGGTTTTTTGCCCATTCAATTGCCTTCCCCTCCTTTTCGACTGATTTCTCCCTTCTAACCCTCTTCCCGATTATCGTATTCCATTCAATTTCATTTTTTTTTCCGTCTACTGCTTGAAACAATAAAGTCGCGGTTAATCTTCAGGTGCGATCATACCAGCACTAATGCATCGGATCCCATCAGAACTCCGTAGTTAAGCGTGCTTGGGCGACAGTAGTACTAGGATGGGTGACCCCCTGGGAAGTCCTCGTGTTGCAACCCTTTTCCCATTTTTTTTCCTTTTTTTTTTTCACCCTTCACCGGACGACCTATCCGGTTTTTAGCACATTCAATATCCTTCGCCTCCTTTTCGACAAATTTCTCTCTTTTAAACCATTTCCCGATTATCCAATTCCATTCAATTTCTTTTCTTTTTTTTCCGTCTACTGCATAAATCAAAAAAGTCACGGTTAATCTTCGGGTGCGATCATACCAGCACTAATGCACCGGATCCCATCAGAACTCCGCAGTTTAGCGTGCTTGGGCGAGAGTAGAACTTGGATGGGTGACCCCCTAGGAAGTCCTCGTGTTGCTCCCCTTTTTCCACCTTTTTTTTCCTTTTTTCTTTTTTCACCCTTCCCCGGACAACCTGTCCGGTTTTTAGCCCATTCAATCACCTTCACCTCATTTTCGACAAATTTCTCCCTTTTAAACCAATTCCTGATTATCCTATTCCATTCAATTTCATTTTTTTTCCGTCTACTGCTTAAAACAATAAAGTCGTGGTTAATCTTTTGGTGTGATCATACCAGCACTAATGCACCGGATCCCTTCAGAACTCCGCAGTTAAGCGCGCTTGGGCGAAAGCAGTACTAGGGTGGGTA